GCTAAGTCTTCAAACTGCAAGTTTGTAACACACACCAAGGACAAAACCTGGTTTTCACTTACACTGTTGAGAACAAAAACCCAGCACAACTACACAGCAGGCCTGGCACTTAGGCCAGGCATCAAGGAACTGAATTTGGGGGCTACTTTCCTTTATCTGTCAGGTGGTATAAGCACATCAGATCACAGGACTGCATAAGGTTTCGTGCATCTAAACTGGAACATCAGATAACAATTATGTCCTTTTCTAAAAAAAAACTCATCCTAACACTGTATCGGAGATGAACTGGATAAAAATCTGGATGTGAACCACGTACCCATCAGATAGCGTGGCAAGCTCAAGCAACGTATATCCTGGCCTACAATTCTGTTACAGAAACGTTGTCTTGAGGGTTTGTACAGGCAACCAGGCCTGCACAGCATCGCTACACTGCCTCACACGGCTACTCAGACCATGCAGAGGCCAGAGCATGAGAAATCAGAGCCCTCCGCTCCAAGACGTAGACACTGTCCCTTCAGTTAGGAGAGACGAGTCTTGTTCGTGTAAGCACTCAGAATCACCTACAAGCCAGCTCTGCCCGTTTATGACACTTGCAGGACTATCCGAGAGGGCAATGCCTCCGTTTGTTCACCTTGTTCCTTTCTGGAGTCTACTGCTGCTGCACGGAGGGAAGCCCAAAGGGCCACTGCAGCTGCTGGTTCCTCACAGGAGCCGAGACCCCCGTTGTTCTGCCTGGCGCTCACCAGCCAGACCGCCAGCAGCAGCAGCAGAGGAGACTAGTCCTCAGTTTCTGCCAACAGCGCTTAACCACAAGTCATGAGAGTTCATGTGGTAGCACCCTCAGACTCCAAACAGTTCTCCTTCTGTTCCCTACAAAAACCTTAACTGTCTTCAGCCACGCACTTCCTGCATTCGGAAGCGCCTCAACGTCAAGGCTTACTTCTCTGTATTAACGTGCTGAGTTAATGCTCCCCTCTTCTTGTTTTTCACTACAGGATACACCTCTGCCTCCCAGAAAAGACTCAACAAAGAGACCCAATAGTCCTTAACGCTCTTCTAGCTGTTTCATAGAACGTTTCAATATCGAAGAACTCTGCTTGTATCAAAAAGGGAAGAAACACGCTAAATTTTGTACATAACTAACTACCGACGGCATTCCCAAGGCTCATCGCAGTTAAAAAGACAAAGAACAGAATGTTAACATTGCACATCTCAAAGGCTGGACCTCAAGGCAAGCACAAGGCACCAAAACCATCCCTATTCTTGCAGCAAGCTATTTATAATAATGTAATTACCCCTTCTATTCTTAGCTTTGCTCCACTTTGTACTTTTAACACAAATTAACGTAGTGTTAAATGTAAGCTGAAGTATGAATTTCTGATTGCCTCTTCGCGGCACTCCAACAGACTTGACAGTTTGAAGGTGATACCGCTTCAATCTCACAAAAACAATGAAAGAAATGTCAACTTGCATACTGAGTTATAAAAACCACTGTCTTGTTTAAAACATTGTTGGAATTTTGCACATAAAAAGACAGAAAGAAAAAAGAAAAAAAGAAGGAAGTGTGGAAAGAGAAATAAGAGCCAACACCTCAATGTAAATTTCCATGGAAAAACATGAAGGCAATGCGACTGAAAGAGAAAGGATAAATTTTATTCCTGTGTCTAAAAGATGAGGTGGAGCACTTGTCCTAACCCACCAAACGGGAGGGGAGGTACCTCGGGGGCTGGAGAACAACCCTGGGGGCTGTGCGGGCTCAGAGCGGGACGAAGAGCCCGGGGTGAGCTGGCGCCTGACCCTGCCACGGACACTTCTACACCCATTCACCTGTCCGCCTCACCACCTACGCTGAGTAAACTTGGAGCAACGCACGAGTATCCACATCAAAAGTTGTAATGCCTAAAAAAATAACAATAAGCACCACTTTTCACCTGAAAGTGGGAGTGGTTATCCTGTGACCACCAGGGACAGGTTTAGGAACGCTACCGGTGAAACCGGCCTCCCACTCCTACACCGGGCACGGTACCGGCGGTCACCCCAACCCCCG